CTAGTAAGACTATTGCCCAATGTGTTTTGTGAGTTACCTGCACATACCTTCTTTATCCTTAAAATGAGATCTACTCCTCGCAGCACAAATATTTTGATACTTCTATCAACCATTATAACATCAATATAAATGGTGATAGTTCTTCAAGCCATGATGGAAAGGCAACATGGAACCGTTTGACATAAAAAAGAAAGTCAGTGTAAACTGGTCAGTTGCCCAGTCATTTACAAACAAAAGTAAACCAAATGGTATTAGTTTCTATTTGTGTTTGTGAATATAGTGGATATGTTTGTTCATGTATGGGTGGACGTAAGTGTGGATGCAAGAGAACAATGATCATTACTGTTCCTCAAATGTCAACTACCTTGGTGGTGTTTGAGTATGTGTGAAGGAGACAGAGTCTCTCACTGGCCTGAGGCACACAATTTTTGATAGACTGTTTCAGGCAGTGAAATTTAAGGATCTACCCATCTGCATACTGGAATTACAAACACACAAAGCTATGCTTGGATTTTTAACCTGGATTCCTGGGGTGAAATTCAAGATCTCATTCTCACTCAGCAAGCACTTTACCAACTGTACCATTTCCTCAGTCCTATTTTTGATCTTGAGGTATTTCTTGATTTTTCTTTCAAAATACAAAATGTACAACTTTGTCCTTCTAAATGTACATACTTTAGGTTCCTCACAATGAATGACCACAACTTTTAGGCATAATTAAAATTCCTTAGATGGAAAAAAAAACATATTGCCATTGCACCTTCATCCCTTCCTTAGTTTTTTCTTGAATATAAATTATAAATATTTAACTTATACATAAAGATGTACTTGCCATGCAAGTTTTGACAAACGTATATATAGTACATTGTTTAACTGAGGGTTAACCTACATGTCCTTTCAAATATGTGTAATAACATTGTGGAAAAATGCTATTTTTATCTTCTGGTTCAATAATGAACTTATCACTGAATTCTGTTCTAGTGTTCCCCAGTCACTATCGGTATAATCATTGCTAAGTGGCCTTTTTTTTTATTCTTCAGTGTTTTGGTTTGCTTTGATATCTACTCCTACATTCTAGACATCATAATGCCTCTTCATGTCTGGTTTTCCTGCATAGAACTCGATTTCTGGGTCTAATGAGTCTGTGGTGTTTGCACAAATACATTCCTCTTTATTTCTACGCAGTTAAAATTTTTTTCAAGTGGATCTAGTCTTGGTGAGAAATGATATATAGTATAGGAAATAATAAGATAATAAATCATTGTCAGTGCCGAGTCTAGATGGAAACTTGGCAATGGAATTAAAAGTGGAAAAAAAATGGTAGTCAGTTATGTGCGAGCTAAATGTCAGTTTTGTTTTTATTTTGTTGCCCAAAAAATTAAAAAGTAAGTTGATAAGTTAGGTTATAAAAATTTATATTAGTCCTTCTTTTTGGAACTGTAGAATTGCCAATTTTGTATGGTTTAAGCTATCAGTCATCCTCATCAACTAGATTATGAACCGAATATGGACAAGTTCAGCCAAACTTCCACATACAGGCTGTCCATGCATGCTTCAACATTGCCACGGCATCAATTTTATTTTCATAAACTACTAACTGCATTTGCAGTATTACAGAGAAAAGGAACTAACAGGTAAATGCAAAAGAATCACCCTTTGTTTTTCAGAAAAATGTACCTCTTAAATACAAGCTTCTTATGTATTTTGTCTCATAGCAATTTTTATTAAAAATACATTATTTGCCTCTTAATATAATACTGGTTTTCCTTTTCCTGTAGTTGGAGTTTTGATATTGTTTTGAAGGTATCTGTAAAGAAACTATATCAAGTTACATCAGAATTGTCAATGTATGAAACTCTTTTTCTCTTCGTGATATTATTCATAGAATTTCATCATATTATGAAGAATCTGATGAAAGAATGGAAATCAGTTTCCTTTGCTCTTCTGTTTATGCTTCCTTAGATAGTACAAAAGTAGCTTTACCATGTACATGATAAGTATGAGATTGCTATTATGATAAAAAAGCACACTTATTATAAGTGCTTACTTTACTCCTGATGCACTTCCATTGTCTCAAGGTTATTGCAGAGAACATAAATCTTGGACACTGTAAATCCTCTTCATTGGTAATGGCAATTGTTTGGCAGATTGTAGGCAGAGTCCACTGATATAAACCAATCCTTAACCTATGTTTTTCTCTTCATTTTAGTCATCAGGGTTTTATTAGTACTTAAGTACTTTTACTTTTAGCCAGGCGGTGGTGGCGCACGCCTTTAATCCCAGCACTTGGGAGGCAAAGGCAGGTGGATCTCTGTGAGTTCTAGGCCAGCCTAATCTACAAGAGCTAGTACCAGGACAGGCTCCAAAGCTACAGAGAAACCCAGTCTCAAAAAAAAAAAAATACTTTTCAGGTATTCAACCTGTTTGTAATTCTGCCAGAAAAAATGATCACTGACTTACCAAAGGGCATAACATAGTATTTGTAATACAGTATATACTCATAATAAATATAAGTAGAATAGAGATATTGATTGTTCAAATTATGGATGAGAATAAAGAATTATTTATATTAATACATATTTTGAAACCATTTAAATATGTTTCTTTCAATCGTTATTTGTTTTAAAGTATAATTTTTAATGTACAACATTTTATTGTAATGAGTTCACAAATAAAACATTCTATTGCTAGGTGAAGATTTTACTATTTCTGGTAACTGCTTTGCCTGTTTTGTTTTGGGTACTATAGATAACTCAAGAAAGATCCAATGAATGAAGCAAATTACTCTGAAGTGTCTGAGTTTATATTCCTGGGATTATCAATCTACAGACCAACACAATACTTCCTCTTTGCATTTTCTACAATATCATATGCATCTATTTTTCTAGGAAATTTCTCGGTTGTGCTTATAGTTATCTTTGACCCTCATTTACATTCACCCATGTATTTCCTTTTAGCTAACCTTTCATTTGTTGACTTTTGTTTTTCAACCTCAACTGTCCCTAAATTGATTTCTGATCTGTTTTCCAGACATAATACCATTTCATTCCAGGACTGTATCTTTCAGATGTTTGTCCTTCATGTCCTCGGGGGCTGTGAGATGGTGTTGCTGGTGGTCATGGCCTGGGACAGATATGTGGCCATATGCAAGCCCCTCCACTACCTGACCATCATGAGCCCACGGAAGTGCATTTTGCTTCTAATTGGTGCCTGGATTATTGGTCTCATTCACTCAGTTACTCAATTAGCTTTTATTGTCCATTTGCCTTTTTGCAGTTCTAATGAGATAGATAGTTTTTACTGTGACCTTCCTAGGTTCATCAAACTGGCCTGCATAGACACCTACAGGATGGAGTTCTTGGTTACTGCTGGCAGTGGACTAATATCTGTCAGTACCTTCTTCTTACTGATTGTCTCTTACATCATCATACTGTTCACTGTATGGAAACAGTCCTTGGGCAGTTTGTCCAAGGCCCTCTCTACGCTTTCTGCTCACATCTCTGTTGTTGTTTTATTCTTTGGACCATGTATTTTTTGTGTATGTATGGCCATTTCCTACAATACCAGTGGATAAGTTTCTTGCCATTTTAGACTTCATGATTACACCCATCCTGAACCCTGCCATTTACACACTGAGGAACAAAGACATGAAGGTGGCAATAAGGAGACTGAGTAAGCAACTCCTGAGTAGGAAAAGTGCCTGCTAAATTCCTCAGGAGAATATACAACCTGAAAACTCTATTATAAACACAAACATTAAATGACCTCTTCTACTTTGATGAGATTTATTTTTCCTACTTCAACAGCTTGATAAACTTAAATAATTTATTTCTGTTTGATAATGAAATGATCTAATATTTATTGGTTACTAGTTACATAATATTACATATGTATTGTTGCCTATCATTTATATATTGTGTTTTTGTTATTTATTGATCATATATTTACTTGTTATTATGAAATACATATTTTAGACTCTTTAAAAAGCACTCAAGTAATAAATTATCCATTGTTTTATCAACAAAAAATTCATGGTTTCCTTCCTGATGTTTCTTGTACTATTTTTTTTTTTTACCTAAATTTACTCAAGCTGACCTCAAACTCAAAATCCTCCTGCTTCAGCCTCCTGAGCACTATGGTTAATATGTGCTTGATCACATTCTGCTTGCTTTTCACTTTGTGTGTGTGAAGAATAAGTCAACAAGATTGTATGTATGGTATGGGTAAAAGTCAGCAGGAAGAAGAGATAGATGTAATCTGCACGCTTGTGGAAAACACGGAATAAAAGGTGGTGCAGAGAGAAGGAAAGCCCCTGAACTAGGATATACTTACCAGGGGTGTAATTGAAGGGACTTTATGTAGGAGCTGGGGGCAGCATGTTTTTGTTTGTTTGTTTGTTTGCTGGTGGGGGTCCTCTGCTTCAACATCTAGCAGCTTCAAGGAGAGAATGATGGTGTTCAGAGGCGGGTAGTGAGAATGGAAGAGGAAGACAAAGAGCTTAAGTTCATATGAGTAAACAAGGGAGAGAAGAGGGAAGGAGAGGGAGGAGGAAAGATGAGAGGAGAAAGGTGAAGGAGGGGAGTAAGGGCTGCAGCAAGGGTCGGAGATGGAAGCTGAGAAGGAGCACTGTCTCCATTGAGACTGACACGGATATTTACTGGAACACAGATTTGTTTTCTTGGAGAGATGACCAGAAGTGACCTGTACATGCACAATGAACTCCCTTAAACTCCAGGGTCGTCAGCAGTGCAGGAGGCTCTCTCGCGTGCATGTGCACACGAATGTTTACTCGTGTTGCTTAGCAACCTGGAGTAGAACAACGGTTTCTGGGGGTGTTAGAAGCTATTTCCCCCACTCTACAACCTTGGTGCCAGATCTTCTGGGACTATATTGATTTTACATAAGCTGATACTGAGTTTGGGGATTGGTGTAAAGGCAAGTCCTTGAGAAAATCCGAAGGGTCAGTCAGGGACAGGTGGGTGAGACCAGGAGCTTTAGTCATGAGTAACTTGGTTCACGGAATTAAGGAAAAGACACCTATGGGATTCTGCGATGTCCCACGAAAAAATCTGTTCGACTTTTTACGTGACATGAAAAGCATTTCTGTCCCAAATAAACCCAGATACAAACCTCTCAAAAAGATCCACCAGGCTGCAAGTGAGGGTGATGTCAAGAGACTGCAGAAAATGATACGTCTTGGGAAACACAGTGTACATGACAGAGACTTTAAGCAAAGGTAATAGTACCTACGAGCAAAAGGGAGGGGTTTGCGTGGAGGATGTGATATGGCTTCTGTTATATTCAAAGACCAGCGTAAGGGAGCCAGGAGGAGGGGATGGCGTCTCTTGTTCGGTCTCTGGATCCTCAGCACTGCCGCAAGACTTGCATACCAGCTGTGGCAGTCACTAGTCCAGCTTGTCCAATCCCACTACAAATTTAACCTGATAAATCACAAATTTATCAAGTAATTTTTTCACCACTGATAGCTGTTATGTAGCATTCATACTGCAGTATTCTTTTTTCTTTTTGTTTTTGTTTGGTTTTTCGAGTCGGGGTTTCTTTGTGTAGAACAAGCTGTCCTGGAACTAGCTCATGTAGACCATGATAGCCTCGAACTCACAAAGATCTGCCTGCCTATGCCTCCCAAGTGCTTGGATTAAAGGTGTGCATTACCACTGTCTGACCATATTGTACTATTCTTAAAATCTTGTCACTTTGCCCCTCTTAGCAAATTTAGAGACTTTAAGTGCAATTTAGAATCCTTGAAATTATTAGTATTTAAACATATCAGAAAATATTATCATATAGTTTTATGTACTTGAAATCTTGTTTGCTGAGTAGCGTTAATAGTGATAATCTTAGATTAAGTTGTCAAGTGCAGGGAGCTATTCTAGGTATTTTGCATAATTCCGTAATTCCCATTGATACATCACCATGGTGTTCTGTGAGATATGTACTACTTTTGATCTTTGCTTTACTGGTGAGAGATTTAATTCATAGTAATCCTAAGTAGTTTGTAGCAAAGTTTAAGTCATAATGAAAACCTATAGTGATTTAACCTAAGGTCATGCTTTTACTATTCAACTTTTTCTTGGTAGGAGATAATACTCAATAGCAGATTAATTTCTAAGCATGAAAAGAGACCATGTGCTCAGTCCCCAAAATCACACAAAAGATACCAACAGTAATATTTCCTATTTTTGAGTACTATAAGCTAATAAATATTTCCATTTTATTCTTCACAAGGACTTAACTATTTGTTCAGAAGGTGGAAGAATCATATACCATTCAATGTTTAAGGATTATGAGCCATCGAATATTTTAGGATTACATGAGTAATTGTTATTTTTAAGATAGTGTTCTAGAATTTTATTGAAAATTCCTAATTTCCATAGGACTGCTCTGCATTTTGCTTGTGCCTATGGCAAGGTAGAAGCAGTAAGTGTTCTACTGAGAAATAATTGTGACATTGATGCCGTTGACAGAAAGTCCATCACACCTCTGATGAAGGTACGTATAGCTATCCAAATCAAGCATGAAATAGACTTGCTTTAAATGATTATAAACAAAATTTCCTCATGAACCTGTCACTACATGGTGAAATTTATGTGGTGTTTATATTGAAATCTTTGAACAAGCTATCTGTTTCTTGGTATAATTCCTAGGCTGTACAAAACTGGACATATGGATGCGTGCATACATTGCTGAAGCATGGTGCTGACCCAAACCATAGGGACAAAAATGGCAATACTTCTCTCCACTGTGCTGTGTCTGAAGACAATCAGTTGCTGGCTAAATACTTACTTAAGTATAGTGCAGACATGGAGCAAAAGAACAAGGTATAGTTCATGGAACTGTATTCTCCAAAGAATCTGAAACACATGTGTGTTACTGGTAATAAAGGTAAGATTAACTCTGTAAGTTAGGAATTCAAGGGTTCCTTGAATGGAAAGACTTTGAAATAGCTTCATTGTTTAAAAGTATGGCTTCAAATAGGGATGCTTTGAAAGAAATGTCAAAATATAGAACATCCAGGACTACTATATGTGCAAATACTATGCTTGCTATAATTGTTCAAGGTAAAGCTTCTCTTTTTATGTTTTCTTTTCACTAAAATTTGTCTCTAACTTGTGTGAGGTAACTTAATTGGAGAACAAAAATTCCCTTGCTAATGAAACTATTTTAAAACTCAAGTTAAACAGAAGATTTTGGGACAAATTTTAAATTTTCTTGCTGTTTAAAAATATTATCAAATGATGTATTTTTCTATGTTAAGGCTGAATTGAAGACTACAGAACCAGAACCTTATCAAAAATAAGAAGACCCACCTGGAAGTTAGGCAATTGAAGGAATATATGAAGAATTATTATTATTTTCAACTTAAGGTTTTAATGAATATTTTTTATTTATTTTGATCATATTCTTTCCCCTCCTGCAGCTCCTGCTAGATCCCCACCCACCCACCTTCTTATTTATTCAACTTCGTGATGCCCTTAACAAAAAAAGCAAAGCCACCACCAACAAAAATCAAAAACCAAAATCAAAACTAGCAGAATTATTTTAGTATGTGCACTGTTATTGTGCCTCCTGCTTGAGGAGAAGATAGTCTTAGTTGCCTGTTGTTCAGTCTGAGGAACACTCTGAGGACCTCAGACAGGTAGTGAGTACCTGGTAGTTATGTGGAAAAGCAGAGGAATGATCAAAGAATCTACTGATGCGTTTCCTTTTTTTTGAAAGAAATGACTGACATTTAAGTCAACACCTAACTTCTGTTCTCAAATCTACTGTGGCATGCCTGGATTGGGAGAAGGGGGAGATGGAATTTGCATTTTTGCATATTGAAATGAAATGTGATTCCAGCTACTTGTTCCTTGAATATCCCCATCTAGGTAGGGGAGCAAAGAAGTTTTCAGTGATTGAGGCCTTTCTCTTCTCAGTGGTATGAACAAATGGTGAAGGTAATTAGCCATAAGGATTAGAAATAAGGAAGCTTCCTAGTTCTAGAATTGCATGTACCTATGACCTCAGGAGAAGTCTGGACATTTGTATTACACATAGAGGTTTCTATGCAGAGTTTAAATCTTTAAATCTAATTAGTCGTGGGAAAAATATTTGCAAAATTACTTCCTTGAAATTCTGAAACAGTTCCTAGAATGTATGGATGCTCAAATCCAAAGGAACTCTAGAAGAGTGCAGTTATATCCTAATAATCTTAGCCCCACTTTTTTTCTTTTGCTCCTTTTATGTTTGGAAGGAAATAGAGTAACAATCATGATGATTTTCTTATAGAATAACCCCTTTTGCTTTAAGAAAAAAATAATTTGCTACTTTTAAAAGATCTTGAAAATAATAAGAAGCTAGACTTCTAAGAATTCTATGTATTATTAATATTCAGGTCAACAGATTCCAAACTAGTAATTGAAAGATTTTTTCCCTACATCAAAAGAGTAGCAAATCACAACCTTGACAACTGAGCTGTTAAACAATCTCTATGTGACTTGGTCAGTTCATAAATCCTGGGAATCATAGTCTAACATTTGTAATCACTGCAAAACTGTAAGCTAAGGACAGTGTTGAAAATCAACTGAATGATTTGGCTTTGATACTCTTAAGCAACTAATGACTCATTTCATTAACTGTAGGAGAAAACAGAATGCAAATTGTTTGGCTGGAAGCATCACCTCAGCTCCTAAAATCCTCATCTTAAAAAGTCTGGAATGTTTGTTTGGAAGTGTCACCTCAGTCCCTAACATCCTTACCCAAAAATGTTTGGAATGCTTGGTTGAAAGTTTCATCCCAGCTCCTGACATTCATTTCAGAATGCTTGAGTGGAAAATTCCATTTCAAGCCCCCTCCCCTAGGAGTTGCCACAGTCTAAACTCCACCTTCAAGAAAGCCTGCCAAATGGTGGCCCTCCCCAGAGAGGGTCGAGACCACTCCCACAGGCTATTTAAACTGCTCCCCAGAGAAGGATCATGTGGTCTCTCAAGCTGCTCTTCCCCTTCCCCGTGTTTTTCACCAAGGGCCTCCCAAGAGCACTATCGGTCATCCATTAAACCTGGGCATTTTTTAAAAAATTCGATTTGATTTGGTCAGATTTGGATTACCGCGTTGGTGGAGAGACATACCCCAGCAGAAAAACTTTACATCTGGAGGTCCTGGGGCACCCACTGGCCCAGGGCTATGTGTTGAAAGGTGTTGAAAGATGCCCTTCTTGCCTTTGCTTTCTACCAGGCTAAAATTGGCTTCATCTGTGTGAGCTCCCCTTTTATCGTGCACTAAACACCATGAGGGCCCAGGGCCCATTCATTTGTCAGGCAGTGGTTGAAGATGCCTACTGTGCCAGACCGCTGAACTGACTAGCAGCGAGCCATGTTCCATCATACGGGGTGTCCTACCATGGAATTCTCACACCCCTCTGTTTTTTGACTCAAGAGTCTTATCACAGTGAACTCATTGTGTTAGACTTTGAGTCCAGAGACTCAGCATAGACTTATGAAAATGGAAACTTACAATTTAAGGCCTGATCTCCAAATGCTCTTAGGCTGCCTTTTATAAAAAATCTTTTTAAATTGGGGCTGTATTACGCCATGCATCCCTTAAGCCCCCGAATACCCATGGATTCTGTGCTCCCCTCCTTTTCCTGTTTCCCTTCCCTGCTTCCCCTCCCTGCTTGTTTAGCTGTTTGCTATTTGTCTCACACTGGGACCCTCTACAAAGGATACGTTTTCCCTTTTTACTTTCACTCAAAAACTGTATAGGTGTTGCGTCCTTATGTTTCTGTTCCCTTTTATAGTGTCTGCTAATCTGGTCCTTAATGGGAACACTGGTATGCTTCCCTGGCTTCTACCGTCTGCCTCCACCAGGATTTTTAAGTTGATCAGCTGATATAGGTTCCTAAAAAAACTTTAGTTGTCTGTCTGTTAAAATAAATGTAGCCAAACTATGCTTTTATGTCTATGTGTGTTTGTTTCCATAGTATGCTTGTCTTATTTCTCTGTGCATGCGTGTGTGTGTGTGTGTGTGTGTGTGTGTGTGTGTGTTTTAAGGTTTGTAAAACTGGTAACTCCAAATTACAAGAGTTCTGATCTCCAAAGGTGTGTTTGGTTTTTCTATGTATATTCACCTATGTACCTACACAATACATACAATAAGTCAATAAATGTAATTTAAAAGTTTCCATTTGGCTTTGAGCATGTTTTGGTGCTCAGTGTCTGTACAAGTGGTCATGTGAGTTACAAGTTACCTCATTTTTTTTCAATTATCACAATGTTTATTGATAGATACAAGTATATAAAATCAGGGCATAAGTTACCTCATTTTAAAATATTGATGTGGATATAAAAATACAGCTAATTCACACCCAAATCTTTTGTTACTATGTGCTAGAGGATGTAGCTACTGATGCCCAGAAACGGCATCTGTCCTTAAGAAAGTTTTAGAGGAGCAGAAATCAAATACACGTTTTCATATATTAAATGCCATGGTAGAAAGAAATGTTTGTAGAACACAGATTTAAAATCATCTTTGAAAGGGCATGAGTGGGGTTCATGTGTCACATATAGGTAGATAGATGAAAGGCATTTCAAGGAGGAAGAACATGCAGTGGACAGGAAGGGAGAAAGCTGCTTTTTCACTCTAGCAAGCATTTATACTCACAGGGATTCTTTAAGACTCAAGTTAAATATTACAATGATTTTTAATTGTTTTGCAGGATGGCTTTACACCACTTTTACTGGCTCTCAAAGAAAACAAAATAGAAATGGCAAAATTTTTAGTAAAGAAGGGAGCAAATATACATGTATTTGATGAGATGAAAAGGTACTGTTGTCTGAATTTTTTTTAAAAAATTGAGTGGCATACTGAAATAACAATCACACAAAGAAGAAATATCAAATCTATGTGAAGAAGACTAACTAATAGGGATTCGGTGATCAGATATCAACTAGTCATTAGTCCAATCAGTTAGGGAAGCACAGCAACAAGTTGAAGTGTGTAATACAAATCATTTATCATAAGTTTCATATCCCTTTATTATATTGATTGATGATTGTTATGTGAGTTTTTGGCTGAACAGCTGATATTATGGTCGATTAGTGGGGTTTTAGTTTGGTTTTACTAATATTTTTAAGAATTTTGAACTTTATTAACTTTGATTCACAACATAATTCAATCATTTTACAGTATTTTTCCTTGTTCTTGTATGGTTGCCCTGTAAAATGCCATATTAATCATCAACAAAGCTGACAATCACAGTCTAATGTATGACTCTAATAATGAGGTCAGATTATATTTTAATGACTAAGAGTTATTATTGCAGGATGCAGCTCAACCCCACACCATTTATTCCTTCACAATTGGTATTGATATGTTTGTATTTACATAGTATTGGGAAAGGAGAGCAAATTCATTTCATTAGGAGAAAGATGAAGCTAAGTCATTGGTGTAGATTGTGCATTGGTGTTACTAAGGAGATGCAGATTCGTATATGACTTCATTAAAGTCAGATACCTAGTTGCTAGGTATGTAATCTACTAGTGTTAGATATCACCAAATATGAAAAGGAGGATAATTCAATGGAGAAGTTTTCATGAGATTATTTATGTAGCACTTCGGGCAGTGCATAGCACATGATATCATCACTACCAACTGCAGTTACAATGAGTTTTATTATTATCAGAATATTTTATAATGTTATAATTGCTTAAATAATGAAAATAGCTTTCAATTGTCTGTTGGTTATGTTACACTAAACTAGAGAAAATGGAACCAGCTTAATTTACATCCTGTTCTACTTAAAAAGAATAACTTTTATACAGTTACATTCTATCATAAGTGTTGAATCAAAGCATTCTACTGAGAATATGTGAAACAGTACCACAAGCTCCTCATCCATCTTCTTCTTTTGTCTTTGGACACCATGTACAATGATGAATCCATGTAACCATAAAATGTATGTGTATAAAAAGGAAAATTACAAGCAGACAAACAAGATACTAAATTTGTAAAATATAACAAAGTATTGACAGTTTTAATTGACATTCCTAATAATGAAGCTATTTCTGTGGTATTTCAGAAACACACTCTTATATGCCATAAGATGGGATGCAAAAGATATGGTTAGTCTCCTTCTGAAAGAAGGAATTGACTTTTCCTTTAAAGATGTATTCGGATGGACTGCATTACGTTACGCTATTGAAGGCACAAGTAAAGGGTAGGTGTTTGCATTAGAATACTAGTAAAAATACTAACTTGTAGTTCAAATTAATCACAAAGTCTTCATATTCCATTACATAATATATCATTGCTTACTCTATGTTGTCTTGGAATAGCAGTGCCTAGCCAATAGCAAAATGCATTAGAAGGCTTTCTTTGTCTCATAGCTTGGTTTGGTAATGCTGTAGATTGAACCAATTAGATCATTTATGCTGGGCAATTCTGTCACTGAATTACATTTCTGTGTAGAACTAGACCTTAAAAATTATGGATTATCACACATTTCCATTTCATCCAACTATAACTCTATAAATTATATTTATACACATATTTATATATGTATATGGACATAGTGTCAGATACTTGATTTTCTAATTGGCTGTTTTAGTCTTCAGGCATGGTTTTCCTGAACAGAGTCTATTTCTCTGGTGGGCTTTTATTCTATATATTGTTCTTTGAATCTTGAAGAAGATGAAGGTTTCAGGGTTCCCTAAGTGCCAGGAAAGAGGTGGAGCAAAAAGAGGGCATTCTAGTCCCTCTTTTATTTCTACTGATTCTGTGGCTGCAGTGTTGCTATTCACACTGTCCCTGAGACCAGTAGGGGTTGACCTTGCTAACCAGGCTGCCTTTGTTGTATCAGTTCTCTGATGACTGAAGGCAGTTCACAGTGCACTCTTACATTGAAAAGTTACAATATTTTAATTGAACGGTTAGTCCCAAAGTTACAGAGGTTTTCTTTGCTTTCTGGGCTTTTAGTCTGTGCTACACTTTTTGTCGGTGATTATACCATTCTCATTTATTCAGAACCTTATATGGAGCCCACCTTTCATTTTAATCATAGACCTTGATGATTTATTAACTGAAGAATTTGTTTATCTGGTAGGGAATATGACATGGGATCATGGTAAGCTGTCATGTTTGTTCAAATCACGTTGCAGAGAACATCACAAGTCTTTATTCATTACTGCCAGAATTTGGCCAACAGACCCCTTTGCATTCTGTGCAGCATCCTTTCGTAAGTGCTATGAGCGCCAATAGCATCCTTCTCTGAGTGGGTGTCAGGCTTAGTCTGTGTTTAAAAGAACTCATTCACATTATGCTCCATTGGAATCCATGTATCAAACAGGACAATCTATCATTCTAACAAGGATCTGCAGATTCAGAGCTTGATTGTGCATAGGAGGACTGCAAGCAACGAAGTGAGGTTTTAGAAACTCAGTTTTAAGGTTTTGGTCATTAAGAGTTTGGTAGTGCACAATCATTTTATTTAATGGAAATAAATACACATTTAAAAGGTTTTATTTTCAAGTTGTTAAATAGCTCATTTATTTCCTAAATTATAAGCCATAAAATTAGAGCGACTAGCATTGAAATTTAGTGCTTGTGATAGTTAATTATAATTATCAAGTGACACAGCTTAGAGTCACCTGGAGGGGGAGTATCAGTGAGTTGATCTTTCAGACTGACCTGTAAAATGCTTAGTAAGTAACTGTCTTGATTCTTGATAGATGTGGGAAGTTCCAGCCCACTGTGAGTAGCACCATCCCCTAGGCAGGTGTCCTGACTCATAAGGATAGAGTATGTGAGAAGCATGCATCGCATTCATTTCTTTATGTTCTTGATGTTGAGCATGATGCAACTGCCTACTTCAGGTTCCTGTTGTCTCGACCTTCCTGCAGTAATGATCTACTATGGTGGGCAAAAATAAATCCTTCTTTCCCTCAGTTCCCTTTTACAAGACGATTTTACCACAGCAACAGAACTGAAATTAGAAGAGGATTTCATGTTTTCTGGATAGGTACAATAACTGAATACAAAACTGTAAAAGAAAAGAATTCATTGGGTTTTACTTGCATATGATAATGCCTTTGATATTGCCTACAAATTCTAGAAAATGCAACATAATATAAAATGTTTTTCATATCAATTTTAAAATAGTAATTTTGCATTTTTCTCTTTTCATACGGCAGTAGTCGGAAAATCCTTATGGACTACGATGAAAAGTTACGTATTAAAAATAAAGATGGCAGTCTAGGTAAGGCTTATGGAAATGGTAAGTGAATATTAAAACCATGATTAGATCAGTGGCAAAATATATTAGCACTTTTAAATTTTGTTTTCTAAGCATATACAATTGAAACTGCTTCCCATATTTTCAATATTTTAATTTAGGCAATAATACTCATACTCTGTTGCCCTAATTTTAGTTATTTCTCATTAAAGTTGTCTCTTATAGTAACTTCACTGAATATTTTTTGTCTATGTTGAGGCATTATTTCAACTATCCTATATGGCATCTATCTTACTGTGTAGTTGAGATTGGCTTTGAACTCTTGATCTAAGTTGCCATAACTTCTCAGTTCTTGAGGTTTGGGGTATACAGTGTACACCCAGCAGCTTTTTTGATTAAAATCAATAATTTTGAGGCTATGGATTGAACCTAGAAACTCATACCTTTAAAGCAAGCTCTGCAGCCACCACCTTCTCTCTTAGCTCCTTTCTGCCATTTGTTCCTGATCATAAGCATAGAATATGATGATAAAACTGGAAAAAAAAACTTTATTTTTATAGCAATTTCCCACTTAATGAACAAAATTGAAAGAAATTACCCTCCGTACTAACATTACTGTTTAGCCTATTTTCTTCATGTTGGGTATCATGTCTAACAATCTCAGCAGGTTGTTTATTTTAAAAGTGCATGTCCTACTTGTTACCTAGATTCTCTGGAGCTGTGGATTGTAGCATGGCTATCCTTTGCTTCATAGCTAAAGAGGCACAAAAAGAGACACAGGGATTTCCATAGGAAATAAAAGAGGTCTCCTGGGTAAAATAGAGGCTGGCTTTGGGAGGTTGGGTAGTGAGAGGTTGATGGGAGGGTAGAAAAGGGAAGGATGGCTTGGGGTCTGGATNTATATGACATGTCACAAAGATTTCCGTAGAAGATTCCTGCTAGCTGTGAGTTCTTTTGAGCTTAAAAGTCTCTTTATTTAGCACAGCTCAAGACTGTGAAATCCTTAAGGACTGATCTTGCAGTAGTACTTGCTACTGCAGGAACTGTATCAGACAAATCTGAGGCCATGTTGCACCAGATATAAGAATGCGGAAACAGAAATAGGTGTCATTGAAATAATTTTTTTAGCATCATTTCTGGAAGATATTGACTTGTTTAGAGCTTGCTTTGCACCTGAAAAGCCTTTGCTTGGGCTTAGTCTAGCTCCATGTTTGTCATGCTTCGAAGTACAGTGTTAATAGGTTGACCTTCCTTAAGATAATATTTCTTAGCATAAACTTATATTTGCATCACATATTTGATATAATTCTTTCTGTAATAACAAAATAAATAAACTCACTTAGAATGTTGCTAATGTCGCACTGGACATATATTCTACTGTTTGTTCAGCACTGAAAGCTCAAGATTCCATTTAAGTCCATCTCCTAGAAGTCAGTTAGCATACATGCCATTGGATATTGCATCTTACTTTTAGGTGGCAAATTATTGAAAGGTTTAGTCTTCCTCCTTTGGGCCTAGTAAATAAGAAACAGGAAGCAGATATTTTTCATATATTCATTACTCAATCAGCAATAGAATTAGCATCCACCATAGGCTATTTTTTTAGACATGGTATGAAAGGAATATTTTCTAATAAACCTTTAGAGTCATATGGTCATATGTTTTTAGTATTTTTAGATTTTTTTGGTTGTTCTACTTAAAATGCATTTATTTTTTCTTAAATAGAGTACAAGAATTCTGAAGAAAATTCATTAGCCAAGTAAGATTCATATTACTATAAAAACCATGTTTTCTAAATTTGGAATGTGTAGGTGAAAAAATCATTGTTCAGTATTCTACTCTGTAGTAACCCCAATATTTTATAGTTAATGCTATTTATTCCTTGTAACTAACATAATTAATGTTCAATGTTTTTCCAATTATAACACTGGTTTTTCTAATTACACAATTATTCAGAATAGTGCTTCAATTATTTGAATATCAGTCTGCCTTGAATTCCCATGTGCCCCCTTACTCATTAGCATAAGTTGACAGAAGCCCATGTAGCCCTAAAACCTAGGTCAGATTAGTTTAAAAAGTCAAATTTTGTGTTGAAATAAAAGTATTTTACATTGTTTTTTTTTTTTTTTTTGTTCTGTTCTCTTTGGGAAAAACAGTCACATTGACTATAGAGACATTTGGGCTTGTATCTATCTATCATCCATCTATTTATCATTTATCTATTTATTTAATTCTTAAAATTAGATTTAAGACATTTAAGATGTTTCAGGGAAATTCTTTTACCATTTTTAGATAAACAGAAATTAATTATTTTTTTCATAGTTGTTCTCATAATAGAACATCATGACTTGCAAGTTTTATTTAAACAACTTAAGTTTTCAAGCAGGCTTTCTTTTGGATTCAAGTAATATGCGTTCTGTGAGACATTGAGTAATTTCTGAATTCTTTAAGTTGAGGCAGTTTATGAAGTCAAGTTCATCTAAGGCCTTGCCCATGTATCTGCTGTCACTATTCATATGGAATAAGATTTAAAGGTATTGACTCTTTTGTAAATTGGAAGAGGCAGAGGCAAAAAGAAAGCTGGAAATTGGCAGTTGTTTACTTTTTAATAATAAGAAAATTAAGTTCTATTCACATCAATTATGATTATGAGGAATTTAGTAATCAGATTTCCAGCCTTTTTATTTAAGCTGCATTTATCCATTTTTGTTGTGCATCTGCTCTGTAGGAACCCCAGTGATCCCACTTCTGGGTTCACCTTGCCCAAATCAAATGAGGATGATGATGATTTTAATGACAAGGTAAAACTTTCCTTCTTGAACTTAATATGTTTGTACAGAAATGTGTTTCTATGGCATTTCCTCTTGAAATTCTGTAGTGGTTCACCTCTTGTCATTCTGTTGACAACAGTAGACAATAGTCAGTTGATGAGAAAAAGACTTTTTCCTAAGACTGTGACCCGTGACTAATTGGATAGTTCTTTAATTTGATAAACAACAAAGATCAAGGAACTATTCTGAAGTAATAGGGAAAGGTGTAAAATGTACAACTTAAGAGATTTGTATTAGGAATACAATTTCCATAGAAGAGGAGATTTTAAATATAGCAAATAATATCTGATTAAATGTCACTTACTATGACTTATGAACCATACTAATATGATAATGTTTCAGAATCACAGTGAAGAACAGATTCCCGCCAGGGGACACAGAATCTTTATGGAAGATTGATAACTGCCTTTAGAAATATCTTCAGCTAGAATATCTCATGTCATTTTAGCAAAACTATTCAACTTAGCATTGATAGTCTTTTATAGCAGCTGTAGGCTTTATTTTTATTTTTTATTATTTAGTACCTCTTGTGAGTTTATATCTTGAGCCCAGGTTGTAAAGTACATATCAAAAGTGTTCTGTTGCACAGTTACAGGCCCAACTTCAGCATTCAAAGTTGTTTTCTAGTATACTCTAATTCCCAATCATCTGTTGGCTATTTGAAACTGGTAAAAAAACAAACAAACAGAAAGAAAGCACTAATCAAGATTTTAGTCATATTTCTCCTTCCTGGTGTGAATACTGGATACAAAATTACAAACATTTGAACTGTATTTGAAAAGAACTAGTTCAAAATCATTTGGAAGGACAATGAAAGCTTGACATTTACATAATGGAATTTTTCTTCAACCATGAAGTACCATTTTATATGACATATCAGGAAAAATAATTATTATTATGTTTATAAGTTGATAGAAAATCTGTATTAGCTTTTATATGAGAATGCACCTTTTTTTCTTACATAATATTAGTAGTTATAAAGACTAAATATAGAGTCACATGAAGTTTCTCTTCTAGAATTGAAAACTTTTATTTGATGATGAAAAATTTCTACATAGCAAACGTCACCCAGGGTGAGGTAGTATGCTTTATTTAGCATGCTCAAAATCAAGCTTAAAATTTATTAATTATTTTTTTCAAGAGAGGATTTCTCTGTGTACTATTGGCTATCCAGGAACTTGCTCTGTGTACCAACCACTCTGGCCTTGAACTCAATGAGATCTGCCAGCCTCAACTTCCTGAGTGCTGAGGTTAAAGGTGTGCACCACCACCACTGGGAAAATTTAAATATTTTTAGTTTAATTTTTAAAAAATGTCATGTGTGAGTATTCTGCTTACATTACTTTCACCCTGTCTTCTCTCCACTCCAGCAACTTATGTATATGTCCCTATCTGCTCTCAAATTCATGACCTTTTATTGTTTCATTATTTTTACATATGTGAATTTACAAATACATATACTGTATATAAAATATACATAATCTATTGAGTACATTTAGTCTATTTCACACAGAGTAGTCTTTAAGTTAATCTAGACAGCTATTGATTACCACTAAGAAGAAAGTACTGCTATTGCATCCCCTTTGATCTCTTGCTCCACCAGCAACTGTTATGGTTCTAATGCTCTGCAACTAGGAAGAACTTTTGGTTGCTTTTCTCTTTTGGGAGCTTGCATAGTGTGTTTAGATGGAATGAAACAGTTCTTATGGGAAAGCATTCCAGGCGGTCCCTGCCAGAAAATTTTCCAGTTCCGTATCTAATGTGTGTGGTGTCTCCAGTAACACTCTTATTTCCAAGTTCATGAAAGAGACCGAGAGCAACCTGAAGAACCTATATTTCTTGGGGGGGGGGGGGTCTCTTGGAATTCACTGTCCAACAAAATGAAGACAAGTGTTCCTTGCCTGGAGCTGAAGATTTCATTAGCCAGCCTATACCTTTTAGGGAAGTAGCATCTCCCACAGTGGTATAACTTCATTTAATTTATTTATATATACACACACATAGATCACATATGCTTTTATGTAAACAGAAAATACTGTTTTTCCTAATGATTTTCAAGCATCCATAGTCTTATTTAGCACTCTGTCCTCTCTATGTGTTATTCTTCTCCTTATCCTGTAATTAAAATCTCTTTGTCCCATTTCTCACCTTCTAGAAACCTGAATCATAATTTCTCCCTCACTCTAGAGCTCATCCCTGGACTTCCTTTATATTTTTCTTTCTTCTATGTTTATATGTTTCTTCATATGCTTGTGACATCTAGAATTACTGTTTTGAAACTGAGGGTTTTTAATAAAAAAATAAATATTTGGGAAATATTCCAGAGAGGGGGGAAACATATATTTCTTGTGAAAGCACTGTTTTGTTTTGAGTGCCATAGGGGAAATGGAAAATTCTAGGGTTAGAAATAGTTTTTGTAGTAACATTTCATTTGTGTTTAAAGAAAAAAAAAAGCCTTGCCTAAAGTTCGGAGAGTAAAACAGCCTCACTGGTCAACTTTAAAGACCAGGCAGTGGTGACACACACCTTTAATCCCAATAGCCACACTAGCTTACCTAGTGTCCTAGTGTGGCAAACCTGGCAGTAGTGGTGCACCCCCTTAATTCTAGCCCTAGAGAGGAATATAAAATGGGAAGAGAAAGCTCTCAGTCTCAGTTTGATTCTGAGATTCCTGGAGACAGGATCTCCATTTCAGATTGAGGTAGAGGTAAGAGGCAGCAGCTGTTTTGTTTTTCTGAAGTTCATGTTGAACCCCAATTAATGTTGTTGTTAATCATGTAACACGTTTTTTTTTTTTCCTGGAGGTTTAAAGAGAAGTCATTTTAAAAATGGATACTCATTTAAAATATGGAATGTAAGAGTTAGATAGTATAAGGTTAACTTCTTTTATAAAATATCTACAAGTAAGCAGTTTATCTATGATTATGACTTTTGTAAACTTCTACTTTTGTTTTACAAAATGGTGAGAGTTAGATTTAATCTAGAGAGCATGTGTAAGGTTTGATATCAAAATAATTGTGTTTTTAGACATATTCTTTTTGTTGAATGTATAGTTTATTTTAAAATGGGAAAATCATATATCTTAAAATGAGTAAGAAAATATTAATTGCTTTATTTTCTATGAATTTTAGCCGAGTTCTTCTAAGTATGCTCCTGCCAAATGTATCAGTAACGTACATGGGCCTGGAGGCCAAAGAGACAAAAATGAAACAAAAGGAACAATGGAAGGTAACACTTTTGTTCTTTAAAAACGTTGACAGAATGTTGGTTTATGGTATGAGTACTGATGAAATCTTGTAGTCAGAGCTGGGCAGTGGTGGCGCACACCTTTAATCCCAGCACTCGGGAAGCAGAGGCAGGCGGATCTCTGTGAGTTTGAGGCCAGCCTGGTCTACAAGAGCTAGTTCCAGGACAGGACCCAAAAGCTAAGGAGAAACCCTGCCTCGAAAATCCAAAAAAAGAAAAAAAGAAAGAAATTTTGTAGTCAAAGAGCATTCCTTGTAGTGGAAAACCATGAAAAGTGTAAGATAAATGGCAACAATTGTAACTCGTACCAGTCTTTAACAACATTTAAAACTGAGACTGTCACTAAAGGAGTTTTATTGCAAATGCCAGTTCATGCCATTCTTACGTGTAAGGGGAAATAAGTAAGAAATGAGTACAGAGAACGAGTAATATTGAATGAAGAAAAAGTGAGGGAATAAATAAAGAAAAAAAGGATAAAGATCTTATTACACAGAGTATGAAAGCTAGGATGTAAACGGTTTAGAATATGGATCAAAAAGAAAAAAATTTGTTTGCATGTAACAAAACTGGCTTGAGAAGTAAGAAAAACATTCCCCACTTTCTATCACCATCTCACTGTTGCAAAATATCATTCATGTCTGAGGAGCTATATCATGCAATGGTAGACTTACTTTAGATAACCATAAACACTACAGGGTCAAGTTATACATGTGAACTGATGCTACAGGGTTATGTGTTATCAGGTAAAATATAAGGTTTGAACGAAGATAATTAATAGTTTTACTTATAGAAAGTTCAGGAAGTCATCGCCAGACATGATCTGAAGAAGTACAGGACAGATTCCATACATACACTGAGGCAAATAAATATTGAACAGATAATACAAAAACTATTCTTTCTCAAAGTTATAGAAAATAAGGGTCAATCATAAAAACAATATGCTCAAGTTTCCAAAAGCAATGCATTTTTAAAATATTTTCTCAGGCAGTCATGTCTTTTCTGTGTGTCCATATTGTTCTTATTTTTAGGTAAACATGGAGAGGGCTTTTGATTATTAGTGGTGGTGGGATCACATCATGAGAGAGAACATCCGCTTTTTCTCATGAGCATGAAAATAAAAATCAAGGAAGAAACAAAGAAAGGAAGAATAGGAACTAAGTTTTATAAGAAAATAATGACAATTCATGGCTGGAATAAACCAGTAGATAGAATGTATAGTAATGTGAATTTGGATTCAATCTCATATCCTGTGTAATGACAGCTAATTTCCCAATGACACTATTGCTTGTGTGAAAATGCTTTATTGCTCACAAGATACAACATCTTTGGAGAGAAAGATATGTTTAACTAATTTATAATATATTACAATGTGCCAAAATTGTGCCTTAAAGTAAATGTTTTTATTTTTCATATGTAGCTTGTAAAGATTTTGTAATTTTTCCATGAATAGTCATTTTAAAGCACTGACAATCATATTTCAAAAGTTCATTTGCATTAATTTCAATTTTAAGTTCACATACCTCTTAAAATGCTTACTAAAATTTTAGAGTATGTCTTATTTTGGACATGTTTTATTTTAACTTCATGATTTTACTTTTTCAACTCAATCCCAAATGTATTTTTTCTAATTGGACCAAAACAGAACAAGCAAAAACAAAATCTAGCATCCTCAAAATTTAAATTACCATTCCTAATGCTACCCATGAGCATTTACTCGCACACGGATTCTGCTTGTATGGTCAATGTTGTGATAAAATATTACTGTTTCTCTGTCTCTTTGATGTTTCAGACTCCTCTAAAAAGCATCCTGCATCAAAGGTAATAAGAGAAATATTTTACATCATTAATTTCATACTGTATGAAATACAGAAGTTATTAATTATCATTTCCAACGCCACACAGTCTATGATTGAAAAGACAGATGCTCTTGCATATGAAGAATCACTGGCAAATCAGGAGTCAATGAATGCAGGTAAATCTTGCAGTTTTGGTGTCTATGGAAATTTATTTCAGCATACTTGAAACATTTAGAATGTTCTCTGTTGGCTGAAGTTTTCTGTTCAGCCTGGTTCCTGCAGTCGTTAAGTCCCACAGAGTTCTACATTAGTTATAAACTGATTGGCCCATTAGCTCAGGCTTCTTAGTAACTCTTATAACTTACATTAGCCCATTATTCTTGTCTATGTTAGCCATGTGGCTTGGTACCTTATTCAGTGAGGCAGTCACACGATGGTTTTTCTGTGGCTGGGTCAGGACTGCCAAGGAATGGGCTTCCTTCTTCCCAGAATTCTCCTGTTCTCATTGACCCACCTCTATTTCCTATCTGGTTGTCCCACCCATACTTCCTGCCTGGCTACTGGCCAACCAGCATTTATTTAAAATATAACTGACAGAATATAGACCATTGTTCCACACCAGTTCTCATTTCTTTTGCTTCTTCCCCAAATATCATTGATGAATTTTCTATTAGTGCAAAGATTTTGGCTAGTTGTATGCACAGTTCTTGTTTGTCACCTGCCCTCTGGAAGAACTAAACTAATAGTGGATTTTTTGATATTTTAGCGTTTTTCTAGACAAATCCTATTATTAAAAGAATCATCTCATTTTCTTACTGCAGATATGTCATACTCTCATAGTTTGTGTCCTGTGTCTGACTAAACTTACATTTAATTGCCAAAGCAGATATGTATTCAGTACAAACAATCATAAGATATTTACACAATACCTTATCTCATGGCAATACATCTAAGTACTAATAATTCTGTTATCAAATAAAGAGAATGGCCAGCCTCTTCATGGGTGATTTCAAACATTACTGCTAGTGTGAGAGTAAGAAGGGGAGACATTTAACAGGTATTTACTGCTAGGAGCTGTTTTGATTAAGGAAGCAATCAGGTTAAAAAGAATCCAGATCTTTTCTTTAGGTAAGAAGAAGATTAATATAGAAAGACTTCACATATTACAATCAATCTTGAAAGAGGACAGTTCTGATAGTAGATGATAGTTTTCCACATATGAGAAAGAGTATCCCATATATAAATAAATTACTAGCTATTTTTGTAAAGAAAATGTTTAACATTTAGGTTAATTTTAATTGTATATTAGTGTTCAATGTGAAGACATCCCTTGTTACCATGACTGAAAATTTTATTTCTTAAGGTTTGTTCACTTAGGTTGGATGAATGTATTTATGAATGAATCTTTGAGATGTGTGTGTATGCATGTATCTTGAACATGGTGCCATCTACTGCCCGTGTAAGTGACCTACTGAATATTTAGATGATTAGAAATAACTTAGGGAACAAATTATCCAGCTCCATATTATATTTAAATGGAATAATATTTAAAAACTGCATTATTTTCAATGTTTTATGCAAAATGTTATAAAAATAATTATTATATATATATATATAGCATTTCTTCATGACTTAACTAAATAATACATATATTTTATAGCAGGATCAGATATATTTACCCCTGAATCACTGGAAGACAAGGTCTCCGATGACAGTGAAAATATTCAGCTGTTGGTATAAAGGTATTTCAGTTCTTTTGTTCAATAATGTTTGCTTTTGTTTAATTGCATAGCCTGGGCAATAAGGAATTAATTTTAGGTTTTTAGTTACCTGTCAATTTAACCAATTAATATAACTTAGAATATTATTAAATTCTAAACTACATTAAAAGTAAAATCTAACTTTAGATTGTGATAAAATTTGTTCAAGTACAATTTCTGCTATTTAAAGTATATCATTTCAGCAGAATGAAAATATAAGATCTAATTTCAGCTTAATGACCAAACAGCTGCAATTTTGAACATAACTGTATTTGGTTCGCAGTAAAGGAATAGGTTTCTCATCATTTAAGTATGTGATTACAGATTTGCCATCTATAGTACATTCAGTCTTTTTAATTGAGGGAAAAAGTAGAGTCGCATAATCAATCCCAGTGCATTGTGGGAATGATCCTTCCTTCTACTATCGGGCTTCTGGTGACAGAGTGTTGTCTCCCAACTTTTTGCTTGTTAATCTTTAATGTCAGCTCCACAAAATTTGGGAACCCATTAAGATATTTATGTTTGACTTGTATGAGAATATGTTCTATGGAAGGACTGATTGTGTAATGTAGAAGAGCAAATATGAACATCAGCTCAGGTATTACCTGTTAGCACCACAGTTTGAGGAAAGGAGGAGAAAGCAAATTGAGCACCAGTCTTCTGTGTCTGTCTGTCTGTCTGTCTGTCCGTCCGTCCGTCCGTCTGTCCATCCATCCGTCTGTCCATCCATTGATCTCTCTCTCTCTCTCTCTCTCTCTCTCTCTCTCTCTCTCTCTCGACCTATCATCAACTATCTATCTATCTCCTCTCTCTATTTCTTGGATTTGTTTTGCTTTTTATTATTTTTTGTTTTATAAGAGAGGTTTTTCTCTCTATCTCTGAATGTTCTGTAACTCATTCTGTAGACCAGGCTAGCCTCAATTTCACAGGTCCCCTTATGTCTGAGTAATTGGATTAAAGGTTTGCACCACAAGGACTAGAAAGCACATCTGATCTGGCTTCATGTTCCATTCTCCTTCCTCGTTTTTATATTTGCCATAGCACTGGGATGAAGATGCAGGCCATATGAGGGCAGTTCAGAAAGTCAGATTTAGTACTTTATTAACCCGTGTATCAACTTCTCCTTAGAATACCAACTATATCCCAAGACTTAGACTTTACCTTGCTATTATCGTCAAATGTGTTAGAGGAAACTTCACTTGCATTTGTCTTTGAACCACAATCTTTACATATGTAAGAAAAGACTACTCCATGAAAAGAATTAGTAAACTGGAAATAAATAATATGTTTTAGACCCTACATTTATTATACTTAACATCTTTTTAAAGAACTTTTTTGAGGAGAATGCCCCTGCCTGTTCTGGTATAACGGGGTGTCCATGAACACACAGATGTCCGCGTGCCTCTTCATCTTGAATGCTATAATTGTGTAACATCACTACAAGCTTGAGGGTATTTTGATAGATTTCTCTATGTATGGAGTTTTCTATTTCATATTCCTTTCAAACAACCTCCCTTGTCTTGTTTCTTGTGCATGGTTCTAGTACTTGTTATTTTTTCTATAATAATTTTGCTAATATTTACTCTCTTTCCTGCTTTCCATTTATTTCCTATTAAACATTATTTCTGTTGACTAAATATTTAGCGTTTAGATGTGAAAGTAGCAAAACCACAAAGGATTTCAGGATTTTATAGATTCTTAAAGATTAGTCAAAATGCTATTCACTCCATGAACTTATATTTAATATCTTGGGGAAAATGGTTGTCTTGATGTAAAATATTAAACTCAAGACATTCGATGGGCCTCTGTGAACATAGTAGGCATATGCAAGTTTTATTCTAACATTCCTTAATATAGGACATATTTCTTTGCATGATTTAATAAAAGATTGAACTATTTCTTCTATGTATTGCAATGAGAAAAGGATCAGAATGTGTTTAGAAATTGAACCCAATGGCACAAGTTAAAAGTGAATTGAAAGAATGGGAGATTTAAAAGAACAAGACTGGGCAGAACAAAGATTTTTTTTGAAGGAGACTAGTAATTGTAATTTTTGAGCAGTTGTGTACATAGTATATAAAATAAGGACTCAAGATATTGAAACTTACCTGTAAATGAATATTAAATTTAAGTGTTTGAATGATTCTAACAAATATTTTGTTTTTTGTCTTTGTAGGAATTGACAAGCCACCATATTTCTATTGACAAATATTAAACAATTTGAAACAATTGGAGGAGTTTTTATAGCAGATAAGAATATAGATTATCTACTGTTTAACAAGCTCACTCATGTATATGTATGTGTGTGTACATTTATCTGTATGTCTGTCTCTCCCCACCTATCTCTAATTGTATTTATGACATTTGTTTATCAGTTTACAAAGGATATGTCATAGATCCTTTTATATAGGATTCTAAGTGGAGCTGAATGTATGTTTCTGTTACTCAGCTAAGGTGAGATTTCTCCTACACCTTCTGGCCATATCACCAACATTTTTTATAGCAGGCTCCAGGAGGTGCCATGCAGCCACCAAAGGAGAAAGTTGCCAGAATGCTGGAAGCTTACTAGTAAGCCACAGCTTCATGGTGATACATGGATTAATAGCAATTGGCTGATTCACACTCTTTTCCAGGTGCAGTGAGCACTCCATTGCATTCAGCCAGTTCTCCCAGTCATCACTGTCTGGTTTCTTGATATCCTGCAGGAAGATTCGGCTGCCTCGTTCGTTCTGCAGCTTCATAAGTTTCTCAGTGTGTTCCCTCTCCTCATGAGATTGGTAGAGAAAGTATTTGGCAAAGTTCCTCAGAGCCACATCATCCCGGTCGAAGTAGCAAGATATAGACAGGTAGACGTAGGAGGCATACAGTTCCAGGTTGATCTGGCGGTTGATGGCAGCCTCCAAGTCCTGGTGGTAGTTCTGGCGCACTTGCGAGGGAGATGCGGTGGTCATGGCAGCAGCGGCTGGCGAGCGGCTGAGCGGCGAGTTGAGTTTGCAGAGGGATCTGGCTTGGAGCAGCCTGCTGGGGGGTCGGAGGGGTGGAGCGCCGGGTTCCGTTCAAGCACTGTTGAAGCAGGAAACCGCGGCGACTCCGGCGAGAACGTTTAAAAAAAGTGGTTTTGAAATATAATTCTTCACAAGTTAATCATGTTTATCTGCAGAATCAGACCTAGAAATTGAATCACCGAAAGAAACAATTTCAGATGACAGTGAAGATAATCAGTCTTTGGTATGAAGATATTTTATTCACTTTTGTTTACTACTGATTGCTTTTATTAAGTTCCATAACATGGGGTTAAAATTGAATTTTAGGATATCCATCATAACCTTTAATGGTTAAATATTTAACTAATTATAAAACATGGAATATTCTTAAAATATACACTAGTATATAGTAAAATATTATCTTTAGATTGTGATGATATTAGATTGTTCCAAAGATGGTCTGTGCTATTTCCTATATATCACTCTTGTAAGTGAAAATGCGTGCTCAAATTTCATGTTTCTAACTAAATAGCTGCAATTGTAAACAAGGCAACTGTATTTAGTTCATGTTAGGAGACTGATTCTCAGTAATTTCAAACATGTGGTAACATGCACATCAATGTTAAGTGCAATTATTGCTTCTCATCTATAGTTTATTAATTCTCCCTATTGAGAGGGAGAATAGGGTTATAGGATCAATGTCATTATCTCTTGGGGTCATTCTTCTTCCTACAATAAGACTTTCAAGGTTTGAGTGACCTCAGCAGCTATCGACTCTATGGGATCTGAAATCCCCTTGAAGACTTATGTTTCAATTGTCTGACAGGGTGTTTTGGGAAGGAATTGACTCAGTAGTGTAGAACCAATTGAATGTCATGAGCACTACTAGCCCAGAGAATGTCACTGTAGACTGAAAGAAATGAAATGGAGAAGGCATGTTGGGTATCAGCTTTCAAATGACAAAGGGGAATTGAAACAATAGCAGCCTAACCTATTTTTACCTGATGGAGGAAAAACAGAAATTCTGAGAAATGTCGTTTACTCTTTTCAGTGTATATTAGATTGCATTGTGCCAGAACTTAGTACAGACCATTCACATAGATATATAACAGCATATAGAGTTCTGTTTATTGAAGACTTCTAATTGACATATTGTGAGTCAATATTGTAATTTGTAGTTGAATTTCAAGGTTTATTCCCCAATATTTTAACCTTGGTTAGTTTTCCATCAGCATTTGTAATGTTCTTTACAATTAAACATGGAAAATACCAGATGAGAGGATGTGTAACAGAGAAAGGATGTAAGACCAAGTAGCAAACACAAATCAGATCATGGGGTTCATATGAAAAGTGGAGAATTTTTTTTTAAAGTTTTTCGAGACAGGGTTTCTCTGTAACTTTGGAGCCTGTCCTGGCACTAGCTCTTGTAGACCAGGCTAGCCTTGAACTCCCAGAGATCCGCCTGCCTCTGCCTCCCGAGTGCTGGGATTAAAGGCATGCGCCACCACTGCCTGGCAAAGGTAGAGAATTTTAATGTAGATAATACTGAAGGAGTTTGAGATCATAATGAGGCTGGGAGTAAGCATTGAGTTCTGCATTTTTTGAGAAAATTATACGGATGAAGTAGTAGAAGATATAAAGGATGGCAATATGTTATCCATATGAATATTTCAGAGGGCAACATTGACAGAGACAACAGTGGATCATAGGTGTTCCTGTATTCTGAGAAGACCAGGAAGGGGGTAGAGGAATAAGCAACTTAAAGTCATATTACATGCTATCATTTTAATTTATAGCCAACATGGCAATAAGTGCTTGGCATTTTTCAATTGTTTGATGAAAAACTTGTACATGATTCTCTTCTTACTAAGGATTTTTATACTCGGAATATCTTTCGTCATCACAAAAGATTTGCATACAGGCACATGATATTTCCTTCCTATTATTTAAACACAGCATGAAGGAAAATATGTAACTTTCAGCCATCCATTTAATCATTTTCTATGAGTAAACCTTTAAAAAATATATAGGACAACTTGGAAGTTGTGATCACTTGTTTGCTGGACACACTAACCTCTTTGTTTTAAGAAGTATAAATTCCCTCAATACCCCACCTATGCTTTTCTGCTTCAGATGACTTCTGACATGAAATGACATGGTAAATGCTGTATTATTTGTAAAATTCAGTTTGTGATAAGTGACTTATGTCAGAATGCAAAATGAGGCAAGTATTCAGCATTCACTGCTTACTGAGATGTTCAGGAAAACAGTGGTGCTCATATCATAGGTTTTCTGTTGACATCCAACACCAGGTTTGAGAGTCACTGGCCTTATGACCCAAAAACATGTATCGATCCAGAGAGTCATAACAAATTCTGTCTCAAAATGTTTTACCTTTAAACAAATATCTTCTCAATTTTCTATTCTAATTACTTTTAAAATTGGAATTTTAAATATCCTGTAATAATAAAAAAAATCATTTGGGAAACTCATAAATGATGCTAATGTTAACAGGGTTATCTCTGACCTTCTTTCACAGATTGATGATGGGAATTTTTCTGGGACTTCAGATAAATGGGGTCAAAAAGATCCAAGTAGAAAAATTACAGGTAGGAATGAAATGTTATATATAAAAAACTCATAAATTGGGACAATGATTTAAGACAAGTGACTAAGAAGCATTACTAAGCAAAAAATATTATTCAATAATTATGTAATAAGAAATATCTTCAATAATATTTGGATATCTTGTTTAATATATTAGGAGGTGTCAAAAATGGATTGCTTTTTCATGTTACAAAATATTTTAGTACCAGCAAGTGACAATGCATAAAGAAATTAATAAAGGTGCGATGAAGAATAAGCAAAACAGTTTTATAGAGGTAAAATACATGGGAATGGGGCAGATGTGTATAAAAGGTAGCAAAAACTTTTAAGTGCTTTTAAATTAAACATGGCATGGTGATATAATATTGGATAAATGTAAGGTGTGTATTTAGTATCTTAACTTTTCTAAAATACAACAAAATCCCTATTCTTGATCACTTTGGGAAGGCATTAACTATGCTATTAGGCAAAGTTTTATTTATAAACCAAAGATAAATAAAATCATGTGTTATGAGGTAAATGAAAGCATGTATATTGTGTGTGTGTGTGTGTGTGTGTGCATGGTTCCATGGTTTTAACTTTATGATCCTTAAATAAATAACTTTATGATGCTAATTAGGGAAGGATAAATTATTCATAATATTTAAATTATTCATAATATTTCCTAAAATATTTCTGAAAACAGAAATAAACAAGGCTAGTTATCTGTAGAATTTTATGAAGTATATATTCTTCATATAATTAGAAAAGAGATGTTCCCTAGGAAACTTGAGGAGTGTGTATGATCAGAGGACTTCAGAGAATTTACCTTGGGTAGCACCTAAGTGTGCACTAAAACCAAAGACTTTTTCTTCATAGACTTTAGCAAGCAGGTGGAACTCAGAGATTTGACAAACTGCAGTCAATCAATTATCTTGATACTTTCAAGCATCAAAGTGATACAAATAAGTTTTACTAATCTTAGGCAGATAAATGAAAATAATTTGAATAAAATAGCATAAGTTTTAACTTGAGATTGTACAATTTATATAATGTGATTGTCTAGGAAATATATCCTTAGAATACCAGCATGATATATCAAAACAATGAATCATTGTAATAAATACATTAGAGTTCATGCTTGGAATATCAAATCATAAATTATAACATGTGATGATTGGTTTCATATGTACAGTGTTCCAGTTATATTTTTTGTTGCCTTTTAATTTTCATTGACTCTTCTATGTAAGAGATTTGTGTATTGAAATATAATGAATCACATTTCTTGTCTTTCTCTAACCTCTAAAAGAAAGCCTAAGATTCATAAAATATCCTATTTCTTTCAGAAATATTAAGAACCATCACTAAAGCCATATTCTTCTATTTATCATTTTTGTCAATTTATGTTTAATATTATCTTTCCAATTTAATTTCAGTTATACTATGATGTGGAATTCCCCTCTGCATGCCTTGAATACCATTGGTGAATAAAGAAACTAACTGCCTTGGCCTGTTGAAAGGGCAGAACTTAGGTAGGCAGGGAAAACTAAACTAAATGTGGGAGAAAGTAGACAAAGTTAGGGACACACTGAAACTGCTGGTAGGCCACAACCTTGTGGTGATGCACAAATTATT